AATTGCAAATCTCTAGTATTTTAGAACAAAAAGTTTATCTCCATTCATCTGTTTTATTCATCAGCATCAGAAAAGGCTGGGTACTTATTTTTTTCACTTTGTTTAAACTCGCATTTAATTTTGTAAATACAGTGGAACCTCGGCTTACGAATTTAATCCGTTCCATGGACTTGTTTGTATCTTGATTTGTTCATATGCTGGGTCAATTTATTCGTTTCAGCTGAATTCCTACTCTCAGGAGGCATGACAAAATAACCCTAATATCAACTCTATGGCTTATTTATCTGTCATAATTCGTCTAATATGACATAATAAACAATATAAATAACATAGAAACCTGATATATACTGTAGAATGGATAAAATATGTCATTACATGGATGGCGGAGGGAGGAGGATTGTGGTCACGAGAGTGGTTGCTATGTATAATTTTTGTTTTTCTTGCTACACTATGTACCAAGCCTGTGCTTATCAATGATTTCTTGCTTTAATTCCATGCAAATCATCCTCTTTTTCTTCTCAGCACTGTCCTTTGCACTTGCTTTCTTAGGATCCATGGTTAGAAGAAAGAAATCTGGCGAATTAACTGCACGAAACGTAAGGAAATCACAAGAATTCCTTGCACCGCGAGGAATTCACCAATGTAAATATGCATTAGTGAACATTATTTTGATTGACACTGCTATCTGGTGGTGGTGTTGTTGTCAAACTAAATTATATGCAGTACGTACATATTATTATTGTTATTATTTATTATACGTAATTATTATTATGTATTATCATAATTATTAGTACATACGTATTATAATAATTTTGTTTTTTCTCAACAAACTGGCCGTATCCCACCAAGGCAGGGTGGCCCAAAAAGAAAAATAAAGTTTTTCTTTTTAAATTTAGTAATTTGTACAGGAGAAAGGGTTACTAGCCCCTTGCTCCCGGCATTTTAGTCGCCTCTTACGACATGCATGGCTTACAGAGGAAGAATTCTGTTCTACTTCCCCATGGAGATAAGAGGAAATAAACAAGAACAAGAACTAGAAAGAAAATAGAAGAAAACCTAGAGGGGTGTGTGTAAATATATGTGTGTACATGTATGTATGTATGTGTAGTGTGACCCAAGTGTAAGAAATAGCAAGACGTACCTGAAATCTTGCATGTTTATGAGACAGAAAAGAGACATCAGCAATCCTACCATTATGTAAAACAATTACGTACAGGTTTCTGTTTTGCACTTACTTGACAGGGCGGTAGTACCTCCCTGGGCGGTTGCTGTCTACCAACCTACTACCTAGGATTATAATAATTATGATCATTAATATTAATTTAATGACCTAGATCAAGAGCCCCTCACTATGTACGTACTACTACTACTACTAATAATAATAATATTATTATTATAACAACAATAATAATACAATATAATAATAACAGGAGAAACTTCAAAAGGCTGCCAGTAGTTGATGCCACCATCAGCAAAACATTGGTAACCACTACTAGCACACTTTTCACCTGTCTAGACTTAAGTAGTCTATTAGTATTAGGTTAAGTCTGCCCAAAATGCCTCAGCATGATAAAGGCTTTCTTTGCTTCAATCATATTATGATATGTAAACACACTTTGTAACCTTTACAAAGATATAAATATTTTATTTATTTATTTGAGGAACCTCCCTTGAGGGGGAAGTTCACATCCTGAAATTTTGTTTGTATCCAGAAGCAAAAAATCGACTGGACGACGGTTCGTCTCCTGGAAAATTTGCATGGTGGGGCGTTCGTAAGCCGAGGTTCCACTTTACATAGAAATAGCTAATTTCTTACCCTGGCGATTTATCAGTGAAAGACAGAGTGTGTCAAAGTAGTGTAAATCTGTATTTTATAAGCTATTAACATTTATAAGTATAAATGCCAAGGAGGTCATTCAGTTCTTTAACCCAAAAATGGATGGTTTATAGATTTTAACCCCTCAGTAATATTACCCATGAACAAATTGACCTAATTGGGCCTAAATTCTTAATCTATACTTGGGTGCATACAGTACTGTCTGTATTAATAAATAATACATTATTATATTAACAACTGTAATACATACTAAGAATGTATTGTGTAACTATTAGTAGAAAACTGAACATTCCTGAGTGCACACTTTCCATAAAAATTCTGCAATGTCTTGGTACACAAAATTATACAATCAGTATGTTTAAAAAGAAAAATCTTGTATGAAGAAAAAAACATTGGCTTCATTCCGAGTACTAACCCCAGAGTTAATAATCCAGGATAACCCAGAGAAAAAGGCTTGTTTTGGCCATCTCTTGGGATGGAACTCATAATAGTTGACAGTGCCTAGGTATCTATTTACTCTTAAGGTGAACATGGGCATCAGGTGTTAGGAGACATGCCCATACATTATGCATCGCCCACAATCGAATTCGGTTCTTTAGACTGCGAGCCAAACCTTCTACCACCTATGAACGAAGTTTTGAAAAGATAATGCTGTATGAGATATGACTAGAAAAAAAAAATAACTATCTTAAACATATGACAGACAATACTTTTGACTTATATTATTCAGTTGAAGGCTCTGCATTTAAGTTTGTAAGTAACACTGACAGTACAGTGGGCCCCCGGTATTTGATAAATCTGGTATTCAATACATTATATCACAAAAAATTTTCCTCGGTATTCGATTGAAAACCCGGTATTCGATACGATTCATACGAGACCTGTCCACGTGTGGCCTGAACTGCCCCGTGTGTGCCAGTGTTTACAAGCCTGCCAGTGTGCGCGCATATAAGGATACATTTGGTACATTCCATATTATCCATATTATCACTGTGTTTGGTGCTTGTTTCTGCAAAATAAGTCACCATGGGCCCCAAGAGAGCTTCTAGTGCCAACCCTGTGGTAAAAAGGGTGAGAATTAGTATGGAAATTAAGAAAGATTTTGAAGGGTTTGGGGCTAACCCTGAGAAGCCTATGCCAGTTGTGGAATCCGTTGTGCCTACTTCAAAAATTAAGGAAATGTGTGCACAGTGGGTTGAAGTGCAAACCTTTATGGATGAAAATCACCCTAACACAGCTATTGCAAGCCGTGCTGGTGACTATTACAATGACAATGTTGTGGCCCATTTTAGACAAATCGTAAAGGAACGGGAGGTACAGAGCTCTATGGACAGATTTGTTGTGCGTCAGAGGTCCAGTGACTCTCAAGCTGGTCCTAGTGGCATTAAAAGAAGAAGGGAAGTAACCCCGGAAAAGGACTTGCTACCTCAAGTCCTAATGGAAGGGGATTCCCCTTCTAAACACTAACACCATCCACACTCTCCCCTCCTCCCATCCCATCAATCATCACCAGATCTTCATTAAAGGTAAGTGTCAATTATTTTATTGTTATTGTAATTATTCTATTGCATTAAACTTAATATTTCATGTAGTAAAATTTTTTTTTTCATACTTTTGGGTGTCTTGCACGGATTAATTTGATTTCCATTATTTCTTATGAGGAAAATTGATTCGGTTTTCGATATTATCGGTATTCGATGAGCTCTCAGGAACAGATTAATATCGAATACCGGGGGTCCACTGTACTGTATGTCCCATAGAAGAATTTGTGGACAATAATTTATAAAAGTATATGTTTTAGAGTTTATTTCTTAAAATTATATGACTGGCCGATTTTCAAAGAAAAATACAGAATAAAATACTGTACTCTACTGTACTTGCTAAAGCTATAATATTAATAATACAGTGCTAAGTCATAATTAAATATTATGATTTTATGTTGAGGTAGGCTAGTTGGGACATTTCATACAGTTTATTAAAACCTTGTTCATGCTAAGATCCAGGATTTTGCCAGTTTATTTAATTCAGAGTACAGGAGGGCCCCACTTTACAGTGTTTTGCTAATGCAGTGGTTTTAAATTATACCCATTCTTCAAAGCTAAGGATGAAAATATTTTAAGGTAAGTAATGTGTGTACTGTATATACATTTTTTTTAGGTCTGGTTCTATTGCTCACTTAATTATAATGTATGATATGACAGTGTAAAAATGTTATCAGGCTTCTATATGCATTTGAAAATGAAAAAAGGCTATGTTTCACTGTACAGTGATTTTTGCTTTAGCAGTAGCCTGGAACCTAACCTGCTGTACAAGCAGGGCCCTCCAGTAATGCAATCAAATAATATTCTGGGAAATCATAATTATGCTATAATGAAGCTCTAATGTAAAAATTATGAAATATATTTGAAGTACAGTAGGACCCCCCCATATCTACTTGTACTTTATCTACAGTTTCAGTCATCCATGGTTTGCTGTAGCCAGAAAATAACCCTTAATTTTGCTTAATAATGCCTCAAAGTGCAAAAGTAGTGACGGTGGAAGTTTTTTAAAGCCTAAGAGAGGCCATGAAGTACATCTTCAGTGAAAAAATTATAATTCTCCATTTACTGTGCATAATTTATCAATTAAACTATAATAGGTATGTATGTAAATGAAAATGACATCTGTATACGTGTATATACACCTACCATCCGACTTACAACCTGCTCAACATATGACTACTCGACTTACGACCATGTTTTGTATGCCAAATTTCTGGGAAATAAACAACTGTTTGTGTTGTACAGTGTGTTTATCCTAAACCTTACAGTACTAACAGCACAAAAAGTAAAGTAAAAAATGAAATACCAAAATAAAACAATAAAATAAAATCATTACAAAAATATGATGTTGATATTCAGTAGTAAGGTTTGACTTCCGTCCATTTTGACTTACGACTGGTTGGTCGGAACCAAGCTTGGTCGCAAGTCAGATGGTGCCTGTATAGGGTTCGCTACTATTCGCAGTGTCAGTATCTGCGGCAGGTACTTGGAACTTATCCCTGGTGGATAAGTTTACATAGCATTGTGCAGAAACCTGCATATTAAAATTATGGATTTGTATCTTAAATGTGCAGTGCTTTAGGATTTTTTTTTTAATTTAATTAAAAAACATTTTCTCTTAGCCTGAAGATCCGAGGAGTAATACGTTCTGATGATGGCCTCTACACTTGCACAGCAAGTTCAGAAGGAGGAGACACACAAGTTTGGGGACATATCACAGTTGAATTTAAACCATCGTTTGAAGAACAGCTATACAAAGAGTTATGGTCTTGGAAGCAACAACCTGTCAACCTAACCTGCCTTGCAACTTCTATTCCCAATGCAACAAGTAAGACACAAAACTAAAATTAAATACAGAAATGTGTTTTATAGGATAGCATTTACATGTTACTGTGAATTTAAAAAACATCCAGAACATATCTAATTACATTTCCAAAACAATGGGCATTCTTTCTAGAATGCATAACTGTACAGTACCACAACTAACACTATTTTCTCTGTTCTACTTCTTAATCTACCCATACCTCACCTATTGACATCAAATCATCTAAAACCATTCATAATCCAATAAAAAACATGTCATTAGATTAATCTCACTATTTTACTTCAGACAGTACACATACTATTCAAAGATTTGAACCTTCTAAAGGTACAAAATATTCACACCTATTTCTCTGTATACAGTGTAACCTCTACTTACGAGTTTAATCCATTCTGTGACCTTGCTCACATATGGATATGCTTGTTTGTGTTGTCACTTTTCCTCATTTAAAGTAATTGAAATGGAATTAATCCATCCCAGTGGAATTCCAGGCATGACAAAATACTTGAATATTTCCCTAATATCAAATCTATGGCTCTATACCTATCACAGTTCATCTGATATGACATAATAAACAATATTAATAACATAGAAACATGATATACGTGTATACGCTAGAATGAATGAAATATGTCTATTAGATCACTATGTAGTTTCATAAGGAAAACAATAATAATAATAATAAGTAATAATAATAATAATACAGCATTTACCTTGGAGAAGGTTGAGGAGGGAGAAGAGATGCTGGGCACAGCGGCGTATGCTGTCAGGAGTTCATTTCATTTTGTTCTTTTTCTGTCACTGGTGGTGGTGTACTCAAACTCATTTATATATAGTATTATTTATTATCATTAGTATGTATGTATTATTATAATGATTTATATTATATTACATGTATTATTATTATATAATTACAGTATTTTATGTATTATTATTATTATTATTTTTTTTCAACAAACCGGCCGTATCCCACCAAGGCAGGGTGGCCCAAAAAGAAAAACGAAAGTTTCTCTTTTTAAATTTAGTAATTTATATGGGAGAAGGGGTTACTAGCCCCTTGCAACCAGCATTTTAGTCGCCTCTTTCAACACCCATGGCTTACGGAGGAAGAATTCTGTTCCACTTCCCCATGGAGATGAGAGGAAATAAACAAGAATAAGAACTAGAAAGAAAATAGAAGAAAACCCAGAGGTGTGTGTATATATATATGCTTGTACATGTATGTGTAGTGTGACCTAAGTGTAAGTAGCAAGATGTACCTGAAATCTTGCATGTTTGAGACAGAAAAAAGGACACCAGCAATCCTACCATCATGTAAAACAATTACAGGCTTTCGTTTTACACTCACTTGGCAGGACGGTAGTACCTCCCTGGGTGGTTGCTGTCTACCAACCTACTACCTAGAATTATTTATTATTATTATTATTATTATTATTATTATTATTATTATTATTATTATTATTATTATAATACTCTTGCTTACCATTTGGAATTTTTATTCACACAAAAAATAGATGATTTACTGTTATGCAGACTACTGCATTATTGTAATAATTGTATAAATAATGTCAACCCATTCATGACTGTGTATTTGGAATGGCCACTTGGACAGGTATTGTTTACTCTTGAACATCAGCAAAAATCAAACGTTTCTGCTACTTTGAGCTCAATTTCAAGGTACTTTTCATCATGAAATCAATCAAAATCATATCTATTTCTGTAATATATCTTCCATTCTATCAAATGAGACAAAAAAAAAAAGAGAATACAACCATAAAAACCATACGAAAATATACCACTAAAGGGCAGCTAATGGCTGAGAAGGGAACTCAGTTATTTATGGTCCGATTTCTTTCAATTTTAGTGAACATTAAGAAGCATCTTTCCATCATACATTGCCCAAGTTTCAATAAGATAGTCCAACAAACAAATGAGATCAAATTCCCTAGATCAGGAGCAAGAACCCCTCACCAGCGTCAAGGAACCTCCCTTGACGCTCGCTCGCATCTTGAAATTTTGCTCTCGTCTTGAAGCAAAAAATCAACCAAGTGACTGCTCATATCTGGAAAAACTCGCATGTGCATGCACTCGTAAGTAGAGGTTCCACTGTACAGTGGACCCTCGGGTAATGGCATTAATCCGTTTCAGAGAGCTTGCCTTTAACCGATCTTGTTAGCCGAATTAATTTCCCCCATAAGAAATAATGGAAATCAGTTAATCCGTTTCAGACACCCAACAGTATTAACAAAAAGATTTTTTTTTAAAGATTAAATATAGATATACATACAGAAAACAATGACAAATAAATATGAAGTACTAATAAAATGTATAAATGAACATTTAACATCACTTAACCTTTATTGATTCTTGTTGGTGTATGGAAGACAGGTAGGAGGCAAGAGGGAGGCGAGTTTATTATGCTTCAATATGACACTATCATCATCTCTACTACTTATTTATCTGGCTTGCAAGCCTTAATATTATGGCACCGACAGTGAAAAAGGGGGTTAACCCTGAGGTAAAACTATTCTTGGAGGAATGTAACAGGTCACATAGGTATATCACTGAGAATAATCATCTCTGATATTTTATGGTTATGACCCAGATTAGCACTTTATTGAAATCAAAGGACACAAAACCTGTTTCCCAGTATTTAAAAAAAAAAAACATCCTGAATTTAATTTAAAGCTTAATATGAAATGATCATACAGTAGCTAAGTCCATTCTGTGTTATACCACTCACTTATTCAGTCGTTACCATCTCATTTTAACATTTTAATCTAACCCACCAGAGCATGTATAGAAATTATTCACATTGAATTGTCACACAAAACATTTTATAATTTTTATTCTAGTGTACTGGTTTGTCTTCCCAAAATGCTTTGCAAAACAAGGTGCTTTCCTTAGAATGTACAAAAATTTAAGAAAAATTTAGGAAATAAAGTATGAGTAGTGGGAGGGTTGGGATAGTTTTAAAAATGCAGTATTATAATGTGGGGCAGAAGTTTGTGGCTTTAGGAGGGTGGGTGCAGGAGGAAAGAAGAGTGATTAGTAGAATGATGAAGTGAAGGGTGTGATAAAAGAAAAAAAGGTAGCTTATGAGAGGTTTTTACAAAGCAGAAGTGTTGTAAGAAGAGCAGAGTATATGGAGAGTAAAGGAAAGGTGAAGAGTGCTAAAGGCGAGCAGATGAAAGAATGGGAAAGGCACTGGCAAGAAATTTTGCTGAAAATAAGAAATAATTTTGGAGTGAGATAAACAAGTTCAGAAAGCCTAGGGAACAAATGGATTGTCAGTTAAAAACAGAGTAGGAAGTTAGTAAATGGGGAGCTGGAGGTATTGGGTAGAAGGCGAGAATATTTTGAGGAACTTTTAAATGTCGATGATGAAAGGGAGGCTGTAATTTCAGGCACTGGTCAGGGAGGTATAATATCTTTTAGGAGTGAAGAATTTAATTCAATTCATTCAAGTTTATTCTCTATAAGGGTTACAATGTGGGGTTTACAGGTTTTGAGTATTGTGTGGTTTACATGTTATGAAATACTAAATTACAGAGGGGGCCACTAGGACACCTAGCATGGCTAGGCATTTTGAGCAGACTTAGATTAATTCTTAACATTAAATCCTTACAGATTATGGTATTAAGGCTAAGTGACTACATCATAATTTGTGAGTTTAGCAATGTGAATGCTTTTGTTTTGGCACAATACAAAGTGTCTATATTGGAGTATCATAGGCAAACTTATGACTAGTTAGGAAGAGCAAGATGTGAGTGTGGGGAAGGTGCATGAGGCATTATGTAGAATGAAAGGGGGTAAAGCAGCAGGAACTGACGGGACCATGACAGAAATGTGGAAAGCAGGAGGGGGGATATTGTGTTGGAGTGGTTGGTATTTTTGTTTAATAAATGCATGAAAGAGGGGAGGGTACCTAGGGATTGGCAGAGAGCATGTATAGTTCCTTTATATAAAGGGAAGGGGCACGAAAGAGATAGTAAAAATTATAGGGGAATAAGTTTAGTACTGAGTAAACCAGGTAAGAATCACATATAAAGAATCACACACAAAGTGGGAGTTGTCACAGTTGCTCTTTGCTGATGACATGTGCTCTTGGGAGATTCTGAAGAGAAGTTGCAGAGGTTGGTGGATGAATTTGGTAGGGTATGCAAAAGAAGAAAATTAAAAGTGAATACAGGAAAGAGTAAGGTTATGAGGATAACAAAAAGATTACGTGATGAAAGATTGGATATCAGATTGGAGGGAGAGAGTATGGAGGAGGTGAATGTATTCAGATATTTGGGAGTGGACATGTCAGCGGATGGGTCTATGAAAGATGAGGTGAATCATAGAATTGATGAGGGGAAAAAGGTGAGCGGTGCACTTAGGAGTCTGTGGAGACAAATAACTTCGTCCTTGGAGGCAAAGAGGGGAATGTATGAGAGTATAGTTTTACCAACGCTTTTATATGGGTGTGAAGCATGGGTGATGAATGTTGCAGTGAGGAGAAGGCTGGAGGCAGTGGAGATGTCATGTCTGAGGACAATGTGTGGTGTGAATATAATGCAGAGAATTTGTAGTTTGAAAGTTAGGAGGATTGCCAAAACTGTTGTCCAGAGGGCTAAGGAAGGGTTGTTGAGGTGGTTCGGACATGTAGAGAGAATGGAGCAAAACAGAATGACTTCAAGAGTGTATCAGTCTGTAGTGGAAGGAAGGCGGGGTAGGGGTCGGCCTAGGAAAGGTTGGAGGGAGGGGGTAAAGGAGGTTTTGTGTGTGAGGGACTTGGACTTCCAGCAGGCATGCATGAGCGTGTTTGATAGGAGTGAATGGAGACAAATGGTTTTTAATACTTGACGTGTTGTTGGAGTGTGAGCAAAGTAACATTTATGAAGGGATTCAGGGAAACCGGCAGGCCGGACTTGAGTCCTGGAGATGGGAAGTACAGTGCCTGCACTATGAAGGAGGGGTGCTAATGTTGCAGTTTAAAAACTGTAGTGTAAAGTAGGATTGCACATGAGCAAGGAGGCTTTAGAGTGGGTAGGGGATGTGTAGATCAAGTGATTACATTGAAGCATATATGAGAACAGTATTTAGATAAAGGCAGGTAAGTTTTCATTGCATTTATGAATTTATAAAAGGCATATGATAGAGTGGATAGGGTAGCGATGTTGCAAGTGTATGGAATAGGTAGTAAGTTACTAAATGCTGTAAAGAGTTTTTATGAGGATAGTGGGGCTCAGGTTAGGGTGTGTAGGAGAGAGGGAGATTACTTCCCAGTAAAAGTAGGTCTTAGACAGGGATGTGTAATGTCACCATGGTTGTTTAATATATTTATAGATGCAGTTGTAAAAGAAGTAAATGCTAGGGTGTTGGGGAGAGGAGTGGGATTAAATTATGGGGAGTCAAGTACAAAATGGGAGTTGACACTTACTTTTTGCTGATGGTGCTGTGCTTATGGGAGATTCTAAAGAAAAATTGCAAAGGTTAGTAGACGAGTTGGGGAGGGTGTGTAAAGGTAGAAAGTTGAAAGTGAAAATAGTTAAGAGTAAGGTGATGAGGGTATCAAATGATTTAGGTAAAGAAAAATTGGATTCACATTGGAGAGGGGGAGTATGGTAGAAGTGAATCTTTCAACATACCAGCCGTATCCCACTGAGGCAGGGTGGCCCAAAAGAAAAAACTAAAGTTTCTCTTTTTAAATTTAGTAATATATACAGGAGAAGGGGTTACTAGCCCCTTGCTCCCGGCATTTTAGTCGCCTCTTACAACACGCATGGCTTACGGAGGAAGAATTCTGTTCCACTTCCCCATGGAGGAGTAGAAGTGAATGTTTTCTGATATTTGGGAGTTGACTTGTCAGCAGATGGGTTTATGAAGGATGAGGTTAACCATAGAATTGAAGGAAAAAAGGCGAGTGGTGCGTTGAGGTATCTATGGAGACAAAAAAACGTTATCTATGGAGGCAAAGAAGGAAATGTATGAAAGTATAGTGGTGCCAACACTCTTATATGGGTGTGAAGCTCGGGTTGCAAATGCTCGCAGTGAGGAAGTGGCTGGAGGCAGTGGAGATGTCCTGTCTAAGGGCAATGTGTGGTGTAAATATTTAACAACACCTCTTCAGAGGGCTGAAGAGGGGTTGTTGAGGTGGTTTGGTCATTTAGAGAGAATGGATCAAAGTAGAATGACTTGGAGAGGTAGGGGTCATCCTTGAAAAGGTTGGAGGGAGGGGGTAAAGGAGGTTGCGAGGGGCTTGGACTTCCAGCAAGCATGTGAGAGCATGTTAGATAGGAGTAAATGGAGATGAATGGTGTTTAGGACTTGATGAGCTGTTGGAGTGTGAGCAGGGTAATATTTAGTGAAGGTATTTGGGGAAACCGGTTATTATAGATTTAGCCAGACTTGAGTCCTGGAATTGGGAAGTACAATGCCTACACTTTAAAGGAGGGGTCTGGGATATTGACAGTTTGGAGGGAATTCTAAACTGTCATATCTGAGTGCCTCTGCAAAGACAGTGATTATGTATGAGTGAGGTGAAAGTGTTGAATGATGATGAAAGTATTTTCTTTTCGGGGATTTTCTTTCTTTTTGGGTCACCCTGCTTCGGTGGGAGACAGCTGACTTGTTAAAAAAAAAAATATTGCTTTTAGTTAGGCACTGTATTTGCAAATAAATTTACAGTTTTATTAAAAAACTGATTGTAAATGTAAATAATGATGAATGTTTCCTTCTTTTGCATCACCCTGCCATGGTAAGAATGGACAGTGTTGAAACAGTATGACACAGCAGTTTTATCAAAAGACTAATTGTTCATTCCAGTACAGTGGTATCTTCGTAATGAAGAAATTAGTGCAAATGATCAAAACCTTCAAGTTCTAAGCATCAGCCCACTTGGTGTTCTCAGAGTTAATCCTGTCACTACCAGTTACTTTGGTGATTACACCTGTGAAGCTACTAATCGTCTGGGAATTGCAAAAATGAGTTTAGAACTGAAAGAAGCACATGCTCCAGGACCAATTTCCAATGCCAAGGTAATAATTAATTTATTTTGCTTCAAACAGACAAATATTGAATTGTTTAAACTCAAATATCTAATTTGAAGGCTTGTATTTGATGGTTAATTTTTAAGATTAAAAATAACCAGTATTTTAATGGATATATCCAGGTAGAGAAGAAAACAGCAACCACAGTCACATGGAGTATTATAGACCCAATGGATGATGGTGGACTCCCAATTCAGGGTTATGTTGTTGAATACCGGCTCCAGGATTTATCCTGGGATGATTCTAAAAGTAGCTATTGGACGAAAGGTAGTGTATTTTTATCAGGTGGTTTTTTCGTATGAATTATTTGTTTAAAATACTTGATAAATATATTAGTCACACATCAATGTCCTGAAAATTTGTAGTGAGTGAATGTAACAGTTCAGTGGAGTGGTCAGGATTTGAACTCAAGGTCTGAGATTTCTTGCCCCTATTGCCAGTCCAGTGGCTAACACAATGAGCTAATTATTTCAGACAGTAGATTTGAATCCTGATTATGCTTTTGAATATTTATTAATGTTTACTGTCATTTTATTTTAACAAATGTAAATCTTAGGTTCATCATACACTTTGGATGGACTAAAGCCACAAGAGACGTATATTTTCCGCTTTGCTGCTCGTAGTGAAGTTGGTGATGGTGAATGGAGTAGTGAAAAGGTGAGTTATTGTAATTTGCCATTTCCATTCAAGGTAGGATAATTCAAAGCAAAAATGCATATCACTCCCTAATTGTCTTTTCAGAAGGGCATAAACATTATAATTTTATGATACCTACTAAGACAATATTCCCACCGAATCATGATGTACATGCATAGTACTTCGTAGCTTCATACCTAATATCAAGATAACCAGTTTTTCTAAATTCTTTTCTGTACTGTATACAGATGACCCTGACTTATTGCAATTGATGCATTCCTGGGCCTATGGTAGCTATACAAAGCACAATCAGGCCATCAACACTTCAGTTGAGTAATAAAAATCTTCAATACAATTTGTGAATAGCACTGATCTGTCTTGGCTGAAGAAGCTACTAGCTGGTGAAACATTTCCAGAATAAAGAGACCCAAATGTTGCATATGTCTCATTTATCAACATATGGATTTGCAAATAGAAATGGGACACTGCATTTTAGTGAATTTACAAATAGTAAGGTGGAAACCTGCATTACTATGTTTTCACTCCAACAATTAGGTGTCCCGTTACTTAACCCTTTGAGGGTTTTGGTCGTACTAGTACGTCTTACGCGTAGGGGTTTTTTTGTCGTACTAGTACGCATGAAATATCTCAGCGGCTTCATACTAATACAGGAAAAGCTGTTATGCTAGATAAAAGGGTCTTTGTGGTGAGTGTGACAGTACGTGAAAAAATTGACCAAGTTGGTGCATTGTGGAATGCTATCAAAGCACAATTCACCATCACCTGTGGTAAGAAATTCTTAAATCATTGGTGAATTAGCACACTGTTTGGTTCCTAAAGTGTACAGTTCTTATACAGAATGGAAGGCCCCAAGTGTAGATATGTCTCAATTTCATAGGATTTGCCGAATACTAATGACCATTATATGGATAATAGTAGGGAAACCCATTACATACTCCAACAGCCGTTACTACCTTGGGTTTGGTCACTGTAGTCATGGGGTTTTTGCAGTTGTACCAGAATTCTAGCGGCCTAATTTCCAAAATCCCAGATCTAGATGTGAAGAATTTGGGTGGGGGGAGTAGGAAAATTGACAGTGTGATTGTGGAATACAATCTTACAACATTTTCCAGAGTTGGTAGGAGTTCTCAGGCGAAGGGATTGAGGATCAGGAGGAGTGACAGTGAAGAGAGTTTAATGATATCTGTACATATTTACCATAATAATGACATAATAGTAATATAGATAATAACCAGACAACAAGTATATTTTTTTCATTTTATTATTGTATTATCACAGAGGACCGATTTCCAATCCCAGACCCAGTGTGAGCATGGGCGATAATATGATAGAAAACTTTACATCATTCAAACTCGTCCAGTCTTGAGAGGAGGCATAGCGGAGAGCTAAGTTAGAGAGTGCAGAGCATAAAACGATGAGGAGCGCAGAGAACACTGAACTCCATTTCCTAGTGAATACATAAGTACGGTAATAATAAATGTTCACCCATGACAGTAACAAGATAAGGGGAGATAACATCTGATAAGTGCTGACGTTTGATGAGGGTAAATGAGGGTAGAGCTGATGCCAAAAGATGAGATAAACATCTCCCTCCCTTTGTTTTTGCTGGTATACTAACATTTCTGTCTGTCTATTTGCCTGTCTGTCAAGCTCCCTGTCTATCCATCTAGCTCTCTGTCTCAGAGAGCCACAAGACTGTGTCATCACTTTTACTCACATCTTCAAGCAGAGTATAGCACTTTGTCTGGGTTTCTTGGGTTATCCTAGGTAATTTATACTATGTATACTTGTATTTATGTGTACCTGTGAGACAGAGATAAAAAGACAGATAGAATGAGGGAGAAAGATAATTAGATAGAATGGAGGAAGGGAAGCAGCATCCGACCCCATTGTTTTGACAGGCGGGAGGGGGGAGTGAGTAATGAGACAATATGTCATTTTGACAGCTGCCGACTCCTGGTAATTTACACTATGGAGGAGAAGGAGAAGGAGGAAGAGTAGGGGGAAGAGGAGGAGGAGGAAGAGGAATATTAGGAGGAAGATTAGGGGGAAGAGGAGGAAGAGGAAGAAGAAGAGGAGGAGGAGGAAGAGAAGAGTATGAGGAAGAGTAGGGGGAAGAGTAGGGAAGAGTAGGAGGAAGAAGAGGAGGAGGAGGAAGAGGAAGAGTAGGAGTATGAGGAAGAGGAAGAAGAGGAGGAAGAAGAGGAGGAGGAGGGTGGAACACTAGTACACTGGTACTGGTACACTAACATTTCTGTCTGTCTATTTGTCTGTCTGTCAAGCTCCCTGTCTATCTGTCTATCCGTCTAGCTCTCTGTCTCAGAGAGCCACAAGACTGTGTCATCACTTTTACTCACATCTTCAAGCTGAGTATAGCACTTTGTCTGGATTTCTTGGGTTATCCTAGGTAATTTATACTATGTATACTTGTATTTATGTGTACCTGTGAGACAGAGATAGACAGACAGATAGAAAGAGAGAGACAGATTGAAAGAGATAGAATGAGGGAGAAAGATAAAACACCATTGTGTATGACACCATGTTTCAGAGTTCCACAAGCTGCAGAACTAATAGGAATATGTTCAGTGACTGTATATTGGTATATATATTATAGAACAATAATAATAAACAATGTTTTGTATTGTTTGTCTTTGTAAACAAGTTTTGTAAACAATATATTGATAATTATGTTTGTGTGCTTATTGTGTTGTATACAACGAGTGTATATATGTACATTGCACCTTACTTTGGTCTCATAGGCCACATAAGTTATGTGAAAAAATAAAATAGTGAAAAAAACAACAAACCTTCAAATACAAGTAAACTAAAGTTTACCGGGTGAGCGGCAGTCGCCGCTGTTGCCATACGCGGCTCATTTTCTGCAAACTTCATGCATCCATATCTCCGTAAGTATTGATGGTAAATTTTTTTTGTTTATCCTATAATGTTTAGAAAAAAAAACTTATTTTTTCATAAGAAAAAATAATTTTTTTTTTTTTGAAATTTGGCCGACCCTGAGAACGAGTTTCGGAGAGGGCCTGTCGACCCTCAAAGGGTTAATTGCTAGCGCACTCAGCTCACACACTGAGGTCCAGAGTTCGAATCTCCTCCGGTACGGCTGAAAAACATTAGGGATGTGTTTCCATAAGACACCTGCTGTTCCTGTTCACCCATCAGTTTAAAATGGGTACCAGGGACAAAACTGACCTAACTTGCCCAAAATGCTCAGCATAACAAGCGGCTTTCTCTGTACAGTGGACCCTCAGGTAACGATTTTAATCCATTCCAGAGAGCTTGTCCTTAACCAATTTTATTGTTAGCCGAATTAATTTTTCCCATAAGAAATAATGGAAATCCAATTAATCCGTTACAGACACCCAAAAGTATTAAAAAAATTGTTTTTTTCACATGAAATATACAATTTCCTATACAGAAAATGATGATACATGAAGAATAAATACTACATGAAGAATAAATGACACCTTTATTGAAGATTTATTGATGAGGTGGGAGGAGGGGAGATGATGGAGGTGTATTATTGTTTGGAAAGGGAAATCCCCTTCTATAAGGACTTTAGGTAGCAAGTCCTTTTCTGGGGTTACTTCCCTTCCTTTTTTAATGCCACTGGGAACAACTTGATAGTCACTATAATGGGCCACGACGTTGTCATTGTAAAAGGCACTGGCACGGCCTGCAATAGCTGTGTCAGGGTGATGTTCACCCATAAAGGCTTGCACCTTTGTCCACATTGTATAAATGTCCTTAATCATTGAAGAAGGCAACTTCCTCCATGTCTCTCTCCTCTCCTCTGAAGCAATTTCCTCAGTTGTGGTCTCTTGCTGTTGCAGATGCTCTTGCAGCTCATCAGTGGTTGGTTCTTCATTGCCATCCTCCACCAACTCTTCCACATCCTCCCCACTAACCTCCAACCCCATGGACTTCCCCAATGATACAATAGATTCCACAACTGGTATAGGCTCCTCAGGGTTAGCCCCAAACCCTTCAAAATCTCTCTCGTACACATTGTGGCCACAATTTCCTCCAAGCAGAGTTCAAAGTCCTACAAGTCACTCCCTCCCAAGCCTTACCCATAAGGTTTATGCAACTGAGGATACTAAAGTGATCTTTCCAAAACTCTCTTAGGGTCAGTTCAGTGTCTGAGGTCACTTCAAAGCACTTTTGAAACACTGCTTTGGTGTACAGTTTTTTGAAATTTGAAATGACCTGCTGGCCCATGGGCTGGAGGAGAGGAGTGGTATTAGGAGGCAAAAACTTCACTTTGATGAAGCTCAACTTCTCCGCAATTCGCTCTTGCAAGTCTGGAGGATGAGCAGGAGCATTGTCTAATACCAAGAGTCACTTGAGGTCCAATTTATTTTCCAGGAGGTACTTTTTCACAGTGGGGCCAAACACATGATAGAACCAATCATGGAAAATGTCCCTAGTGACCCATGCCTTACTGTTTGCCTTCCACATCACACACAAATTAGCCTTGACGACACTGTTTTTCTTGAACACACTGGGAGTTTGAGTGATACACGAGTAGAGGCTTCACTTTGCAATCCCCACTAGCATTACTACAAAACATTAGGGTTAGCCTGTCTTTTATAGGCTTGTGTCCTGGCAGTGCTTTTTCCTCCTGTGTAATTTAGGTCCTGTTTGGCATTTTCTTTCAGAACAGGCCTGTTTTGTCACAATTAAACACTTGTTGGGGTTTTAATATTCAAGTGTCTATGTACTGGCAGCCTCACCATGCCTTATCACACTGTGTATGCCAGTACAATTCTTAAATCTCTCAAACCAACCTTTGCTGGCCTTAAAATCACTAACATCAGCACTAGTTCCAGGCATTTTCTTAATGAGATCCGCATGCAACTGCCTTGCCTTTTCACATATGATTGACTGTGAAACACTGTCTCCTGAAAATTATTTGTCGTTGATCCACAGCAATAACCGTCCACATCTTTGAGTATTTGTGACCTCTGTTTTGTAAACATACTTTCACCCCTTGCAACAACAGCTTCCTTGATTGCCTTTCTGTTGGCCAAGATGATAGCGATGGTTGATTGGGGTTTGTTGTACAACTGGGCCAGAACAGAGGCACGCACTCCACTTTCATACTTTGCAATTATCTCTTTCTTCAGTTCGATTGTATACCTCACCCTTTTTACCACAGGGTTGGCACTAGAAGCTTTCTTGGGGCTTATTTAGCAATTACAAGCACTAAAAACAATGGAATAATACAAAATGTATCTAGTGTATGCAGGGAACCGTCAGCACTGGCTTGTAAACAATGGCACACTAGCTGAAGGCAGGGCAACTGAGGCATGCTCAGGCCGGATGGACAGGCAGACGTGTTCGGGATGATTGTCCTTAACCGGGTTTTTCATCGTTGGCCGAGCCAACATTTTTACGCTAAAATGAATCACCGTCCGATTTTATCGCTAGCCGATGTCATCATTACCTGAGGGTCCACTGTAGTAATATGTCATTGATGTCAGCTAGGCCTGTATACCTTGTACATGTACTTGTAGTAAATAAAGATATTATTATAACAGCACATCACTTCACATTCCAAAACAAGTTATGTCCACTGCTGGATGTTTAAGTCCCTTCCTCTAGATACCTCCTTTAAACCCTGCGCTGAAAATATCTAACCTAAACAGATCTGGCAGCAATGGATTAAATTTATATATCACTTTTGATTTATATAGGATATAGGAAAGAACTGCTTTGGCAATAGACTTTAAATTAAGTGGAACAAGCTTTCAAACAAAAATATTGATTGGTGTGAATGGACTCTGCCTAGCATGGGCTAATAGACTTACTGAAATCTTCCTGCTTTCTTTGTTCTTAAATGATTACACACATGTTTATCTGACCACTAAATACATGTTTTAAGATTTTTTGTATTTTCTCCTATTTTCTTTTTTAAGAGTGAACTAATGCCAAGACGAGCTGCACCAGAAGAGCCTCTGATCTTCAATGTTGATAAACCAGTGACTGAAATTCCTTACCCAGACCAATATAGGCTGCATTGGCAGGTGCCTCTGGACAATGGGGAAAAAATTGATTTCTTCCAGATTATTTATTACCAGGTATGGTATACTTTTTTCTGTTATTAAGGGATTATTATTTACTGTATGAATTTATTTTACATGTGGCAAAAAGCATTATGGAGATAATACTATCCAAACCAACCAAAACAACTTCAAATCCGTTATTATATTATATGACCTTCAGTTTATTAAACATCTGCCAATCCATGAAATATTACTATTTGAACCATTAATTGTAATATTGTTTTTATTATGTGCAACTTCAAGATTATTCTTATAAACCTCCACCTTGACTATCTTGCATTAGTATTAAGATTAAATAAAGATTTTAATAAAAGTTAATCTCACTTGTCTAAATTTAAGTAGTTATTATGTACTAGGGTTAGTCTGCCCAAAATGCCCCAGCATGATAATGGCTTTCTTTGTACTTAGCAAGCCAAAATTGTAATTACACATTGTAACCTTTACAAAGAAATAAAATCTATCTTTTTTATAAAAATAGCAGAATATGAATTTTTAGATATCGCATGCAAAGGTATTTTAGGTGATAAATAAGCCTGAAGACAGGAATCTTATACACATCTCTCTTTCCATCAAAGGTACACAATGTATCAGGAACTTGGGAAAATGCTGGGACAAAGACGACAAGACAGGTAGAACATCCAGGCGAAACCACCTACACCATCGAGAACCTGCGCAGTAACTCCTATTATAGGATTGAACTACGAGCGCACAACGAAATTGGCTTTTCAACACCTGCTGAAGCAGTTATCAAGACTGCTAATGGTATGTTTAGCAACCAGTTTTTTAGTAAGAGTATAAGTACTGTGCTGATTAAGTTTCAAATTCCTTAGATTTTAAACAAGTTAAAGAATGTTGAATATTTTAGCATATTCATATTGGTAATTTCTATTGGAAGACTAATATACCTTGATGAATTATTAGTTGTCGAGGTTAAAAAAATATAATAGCTGTTATCAAAGAAATTAAAATGGTGACTTTCCTGAAGACCCTTACACACAATAATTACGATTTTCTTTATCCACAATATGTTGATAAATGTAGGATATCAAGCAGTTTACAATGTTGCATCTGTCTTCAAGTTTGGGAAACAGCCCAGGTAATAGGTTACATTACTGTATAATGTTTGGGTATTGTTAGCTGTGTAACATTTTCAAAACAAAATACAAAATTATTTTTTGCACATATTTATATTCTAGGAATATATGTATCAAATTTATTTCAGTGTTTCCTTGTGTCTGATATGCATAGACTGTTTTACTAATTATTTTTAGATCTGGTGTAGTATTCTCTAACCAAAGTAATTCACCTTAGATCTCTCATGGTATGAAGTTAAGCACAATAAGAAAACAAAAACAAACAGATAATCATTGCAGTTTGTGTGAAGCATAATTAAAATTTAATTGATGAAACTTTTATGTATTTTATAACAAAAAATATATATATTTATTTATGTAATGTGCTATTAATGTTTGTTTCCAGTTTCATAGTCTTTGCCATATTATTTTTTCCCTTATGTAATTTCCATCTGATTCAATATATATACATATATACTATACTCTCATTTGGTACTACAGTATATTGTTTGATCTCTGTAGATAGTCAACTGTCATTTCAAATTTGTACAAGTTGTACATAGATTATATTCACCCACCCTTTATTAATGTGTTTTGTGTGTTACATGTGCATGGCTAATATATCAAGAATTGCTTGCATTGAAGCTGTTAGATACTGTCATTTGCCCTCTTGTTATTATCATAATTAAGTGCTAAACTCACAAGGGTCATTCATCATTTGCACTCTAAATAATATAATTGATGAGTATTAAGAAATGTTAAAAAATTCCAAATGTTATTTTCATCAAATAATTAATTTCATTATTTATCTGGTAGCATACTATTGTAATATGGTAGAGGTATGAAGAGTTGTTAATTATTCCTCATGAAGTACAACTACTAATCAAGATGTATTATTTTGACCAGGAAGCTATTTTGAGGTTTTGCATTGAATTACTCATTATTGCACTGTAAGACTTCCTGTGCAGTATCTCAGATAACAGCCAGTCTCTTCTCATCCAGTGAATAATTATATCATTGAGATAAAACTGATAAGTAATACATGTACTCTTTGTTGTTTATTTTAGTTTAAAACAAATTTGTACCCTCTTTTATATATTAATCATAATAACCGTAAAGTAATTCTTAACATCATAGAAAAAGTCCCTTAAGCATGTTCATAAGCACCAAGTGCAGAAAAATATGCAACTAAAACACTGTATAACAAAATGCTCTGTTAATTTCATTACTTTTCATATATGGTATTTTATTTCCAAAAATCTTGCTTAACTGCCTCAGTATTTAAGTGCAAAGAGTTACTTGTATACATGACTGGTCAACATGCCTAATAATTGCAATCATGTTTATAATAGTATGCTCAGATTAAAAAAAAAATGGAAAGACACTAGCAAATCAGAATCTCTCAGCATCTTCAATTTTTAATATGTAATTTATTTTATTACTAGTGTGTGAATGAGTTCTCTTTTACAACCAATAGATATGATTAGAGCTTTTCTATGATTTGAGTAAATTATCTAATATTTTCTATTTATATATTTTAGATTCTTTTCTAAAAACTATATTGAGATCTTCTGGTTAGGTAGTTTGTGTTAGAGGAACAGGTTAAAGTATTCAATTAGGAACAGTAGTGTATACTTATGAATATGATATTTGTGACTGAGTGTAATAATTACTACTAGTTAGGTTATAAATTTGTAATTAACTATTAATTTGATTACTGTCAGTTATCAAGTAGTAATACTTCTTTTCATACTAGTACTGTATAGGTAGTACAATTTGGGAGTATACTGTATTATATTTCAATTTATGTAAAAGTGAGTGTTAGCTCTTTTTTTTTTTTTTTGTGTGTGTGTGTGTGTGTGTGTGTGGTTGTATGCTTGGTTGTGTTGTGTAAGTGTGGAGGTTTATCTTAGGCATCATCCCCTGCTGTCTCTCTTCATGCCTTTGTGTGGGGTGTTGTAGCTGAGTGTGGGGTTGTTGTGTGTGTTACAGATCCATCGGCAGTGACAGGTACCAGGTCGGGGCCGTCCGTGCAGTACAGTAGCGTTGCCCCTTCCACCAGTGCCCCCGCCCACGGTACCTTTCTGCTTACTGTCTGCTGCTGCTGCCTTCTCTCTGCCCTCACCGCCGCCACTACGCATTAGGCTACATCACTACTACTTCACGCCCATTTTATTTAACAGTACTCATCTAGGAATCAGTCTAATTTCTATATCAGGATACAGCTTACAAGAGAAAATGGAATAGGATTGATAACAGTTTGATGGCTGAATCAACTTAATTTCCACATTGTATCAGTGCTCTTGCTGAAATTGTTCTAAATACTTAAAAGATGTTAGTGTCAAACAAATCAAATGATTTCTTTGGAAATAGTCACCATATAGTTTTTCTTCTCTAATCTAATAATACTGTACTGGAACTGTGAATAACAAGGCTATGAATGATGGGATAATTATTATGAATAGACTTGAATGCTCATTTTAGTTGAGCATCAAAGAAGACTAGGAAGCACTGACTATAAAATAGATTACTGAAAGAAAAACAAATGAAATTGACAGTTGTATGAATAACAGTGAATTTGTTATATACTGTATATTAATAATATATTCCCTAGTGATCGGTGTGCTAGAATGCGTGGACTGGTGAATTCAAACCCCATGCTTCCATGGTACATTAGCTGGGGAGGTGTACAGTACAGCTAATATGCCTCTTTTGGGGCAGTTATCCAAAGACTTTCTTTTGGTGTACATTTGTGTGATCATAATATAAGAAACAATTTTGATTAGATTTTAGTGAATGACATTTTTCATTTTGGCTCTGTATTGTGCATATAGAGCATTTAAAAAAAGTTATTTTGATGTGTGGTTGTGCTACACGCCAAGAAATAACCACGGACAAATAGCTGTAATCTGAAGAATCTCAAAGCATTTTGGTTTAGATTTGCCTCAAAATTTTCCTTACTGGTCAGTTTTGGAGTTATGACAAAAGTGTGTTTTGAGGGCAAGTTAAATTACAATTTGTAGTGCACAAGACCAGCGACCAGTTAATCTATAGCGTTTAAATATATGAAGCTAACTTAAATGTGTGAACATCTTATCCAGTTCACACTTTAAGTGTGTTGGAACAAAATAAGCATTAGTGAATATTGTTTTTTGTTATTAGCATGTCAGAAAAGATGCGAACTATGTGCAGTTCAGACCTTTAAATACAGATTCCACTTATTAACATACTTATTTAAACTATTACTTGTTTTATGACACTGAAGGAAGCAATTTCAAAAGAAATTAAAAATATAAACATTTATTTAAACTGCAATTTTATTTTTGGAAATGCTTAGATATCAATATTACTTTGATTTTAATTTGAAAAACACAAGTAGTGATGGGAGGGGAGAAAGGCTATATCTGGTCTGAACTGCCATGGCCAATCTGCACTGCCATTGTTAAGTTTCCTTCTTCCTTGCCTGTGACATCCTTTAGCTTGATGGCACACATTTGATTAGTTATTTACTACCTTACTAGCTAAAAAGAAAATAAATTATATCACACACACACACACAACACATAAAATAACCACGGGGAGTTGAATGATAGCTTTAGTTCTTTCATGTTGCAATCAACTTGTCAGCTTATAATGTTGCAGAAATGAGTAGGAAGCTCAGGCAGATTCATTTAGAAGGAAATGACTCTCTCCAGAATAACAGAAATGGGCACCAGGCAGAGTGCCAAGTGATAGAAAATGTAGTAACTACCTAGCAACCACAACATTAGTGACAAATTATCACAGACATGCTGTCAGACTCCAAACCATTTAGCTATAGAAGACTTAAAATTCTGATATCAAGTGTATCTGGCAACCGTTTTTGGAATATTTTCTATCATCGTATTAACCCTTTGACTGTCGCAACCCCAAATCCTGAAGTGTCTCCTGGTGTCATAAAATATTTGAAAAAAAAAAAAAAAAAAAAAAAAATTGTATGAAATGTTAGAGAATCTTTTCCCGATGATAATGACACCAAAAGTACAAAATTTGATGGAAAACTTACGGAATTATGCTGTCGCGAAGTTAGCAACCTCGGCGACATTTACGCATCAGCGATTTCGCCCACTTGGAGCCCTATTTTCGGCCAATTCCATTGTTGCAATCCACCAAACTCATAGTTCTTTCTTAGAACTCCATTTGTTTTATCGATTGAGAACAAGAAACTGCCCATTTACCGATTTCAGCTACCCAATAAAGTGGTCAGAAATTGGCAATTTGGCCAATTTCATGCAAATTCAAAAATATGTCAATTTCAAAATAGGGTCTAGAATGAACAATGCAGACATTTCTGGCACTAAAATAACAGTTTCTCTGTTCATCAGTCATGTCTCCAGGCATGAATTTTTATTCACACACAAAAAATAGAAGGTTTACTGTTTTGTAGACTACTGCAATAATATTGTAATAATTGTATAAATAACATCAACCCATTCGTGACTGCGTATTACAATGGCTAGCTGGACATTTATTGGACAATGATGTCATTTGTTTACTCTTGAACATTGGCAAAAATCGAACATTTCTGCCACTTTGAGCTCCATTTCAAGATCCTTTTCATAGAAAAACCAATCAAAATCACTTCTATTTCTATGATATGTTTCCCATTCTATCAAAGGATACCAAGAAAACAAGAATACAACCATAAATACTATACGAAAAGACACCTCAAAGTCGGCATTTTAATCCAAAAACACAGTCAGTTTTTTTTTCTCTCGTGCACTGCGTGCTACAGGATTTTTTTTTGACCACACAGACCCATTCTCTCACATGTGGGCCTACCAGCTTTCTCCTGCTTGATTTTGAAGCCACTAGAATTTTTGAGTATATATACGTCAAACACATTGGCTCGTAAGATGTATATACGTATATACGGCCAAAACAGTCAAAGGGTTAAAGAAAATGGGTCTAAGGCCAAAAACAAGAGGGAGATGATCCTTGTTTAACTGTGTTGCACTAGACCCATTTTCTTTAATATGACAAAAGGAAATTTCCTAAAAATGGTTGCCAGATACTCTTGGAATCAGAATTTAAACTATTTTACTAAAGTGAAATGGTTTGGAGTTTGATGGCATGTTTGTGATAACTGACACGTCACTAATGTTGTGGTTGCTAGGTTATTACTACATATTCAATGCTTATGGACTTTATATACTTGTATACTTTAACCCTTTCAGAGTTGGGACCCCTGATGTAAGAATTGCTCTCAGGGTCAAAGAATTAAAAAAAAAAAATTCTTATGAAATTATAGATTTTTTCCAAAGGTAATGAAACCAAAAGTACAAAATTTGATGGAAAAACTTATGGAATTACGCTCCTGCAAACAGCTGTTTCAGCAATATTTATGCATTGGCGATTTCCCCCACTTTGAGTAATATTTTAGGCCAATTCCATTGTTCCAGTTACCAAACTCATAGCTGTGTCATTAGTATTCATTCTATTCTATCGAATTAGTACAAGAAACTGCCCATTTATTATTTGAACTACCCAATAAAGTGATCAGAAATCAATGATTTGGCCAACCTACTTTCAGTCTTGAAACCAATCAAAATCATCTCTATTTCTGTAACATGCCTTCCTTTCTGTCAAATGAGACAAAAAAAAAAAAACGAGAATAAAACCACACGAAAATACACCGCAAAGTTGGTTTTAAACCAAAAGCATGGTCACAGTTTTTCCCCATTATGCACTGCGTGGAGAATTTTTTTTATATGGTGCACACTTACCACGTAGACCTATTCTCTTATATCTAGGCCCAAATTTACCGCTCACAGCTTATCTGAGCGAGCTGAGTTCATCACATAGTTCTACAGCACCAATCCTGAAAGTGTTAATATGATGCCTGCATTTTCTGGCACTTGGCACTCTGCCTGGTGCCCATTTCTGTCATTCTGGAGAGAGCCGTTTCCCTGACCGAATCTGTCTGGACATCGTACTCATTTTTACAACACTGCAAGCTTCTGGTGTATCGATTGTGACATGAAAGGCATAAAGGTATCATTCAACTCCCCCCATGGTTATTTTGCATTTTTTTTATCACTCATTCATGATTATTGCATATATATACATTATGGCTGGTGTTAAAAATAAATTTATATATTACACACAACACACACAATGTTGTACCTTTTAAGCCAAACTTCCTTAAAAATTGAACTTTCAAAAAAAAAAAAAAATTATAGATATATTTTTTCATTGCCAGTGATGTACAGTAAAAAGTTTTATTTTTGGCCTAGACCTAACTTAGAAACCTCATCTCGCCTAACTTAAACTAGCATATTTTTTAACTAAATTCTGCTATGTACATCATAGGTCAGTTTAAATTGATTGCATAATGCTTAAAAATCAGTGATACATAGTATATTTTTTTATGTTCAGACCGATTTCCACTGATTTATCACAAAAACAAATTTTCGTTCTGTTAATTTGGTTAAGTTGCTAGTTCGGCTTAATTGGCACGACGTGCATATATACAACCTCTCCTCACTTAGTGTACTCATTTACCGACAACTTGGATTTAGGATGGGCTCTCCGACTGGTATGCATACTTAAATAGTGTATATTAGAGCTGACTCCCTCTATTCTGTTCATTACAATACAGCCTTTCCTCACTTAACAACGGAGTTCCGCTCCTAAGACCACATCGGTAAACGAATTTGTCGCTAAGTGACAAGCATACTATAATGGTAGTGGGTTTGTGTCAGCCATCTTTGATATTGTTTTAATGTCACCTTTGCATTATTTATAACATTTCTGGTATATTTTTAAATGTACATACAACAGTGTACTGAACATTGTAATAAACAGAATAGAGGAAATCAACTCAAATGTACATTATATAGGTATGCATACTGGTCAGAGAGCCCGTCACAAGTCTGAGTCTTCAGCAAACAAGTATGTCGCTAAGTGAGGAGAGGCTGTACACACATACATATACATATATACGTACACACACACAGATGCTCCTCGTTTTGCAATGGTTCGACTTAGGATATTTCAGTTGCACAGTGGTGCGATAGCGATGCACATTTGTACTC